CCATCAATCAGCGACCAGCGTCACCACACGTTAAACGCTTTAGCTGTTGTATCTTCAATCTATAATAGCACTTTTTGATTATGCCTAGGAAAGGGTAAAAGAGAATATGCAAAACTCAAATTTTAAAGAAGTTTCAGATGAGTAAGTCGCATAAGACTTTATATGTACAGGCTTTTATAGACTCTCCAATCAACGGAAAACAATCATTCGCTTTAGCTTAATGTTTGTCAAGTTAGATTAAGGCTATCATCCGCTATTTTGAAAAACTTCTGGATTTTGAGCTGAACATATCCTGATGTAGAAGAAAATCTGATCTACAAAATGAGACCAGTACCAGCATTCTATGGCATTTATTGGAAATGTCACGAACTTTTTAAGTTTTTCCTTCAAACCCTGAAAATACCCTACCTTTTCCTGTACACGCAAAAAATTTTCTTATACATAGACTGATAGAAGAAACTGTTCTTTTAACAACAAGACGTCTTTCAAAAGGTGAAGTCCGCATAAGACGCGAAATCGGCCCACTAACTTTAACCGCTTCAATCGGTACAAAACTCATCAGAAGCATGTTCGATGATTTCGGCCCTTCCGAGTGCTTCCAGTCGAATATACCCGACAGAATCTACTCTAAACCAAGCAACGATGTAGAACCAACAGTATGACCGTGAAGTCAAAGTTTCTCCGTAACCATCCAATATTAAACTTAGTACAATACATCATTCGATACGCCGTGAAAAGCTCTACAATATGTGTTGATAGGAAACTTAACGAAGCCTGGCAGCAGGTTTTATGAGCTTAATACTAGACTTTTCCATGAATCCAAGAATTGTTCGTCACCTTTATTTTTCATTTTTCTCGTCGAGCATACTAGCTAGAACAAAGGAGTAGTATCGATTAGTCGGTTTTTCGTTTCCAAAAATTTCCGATTGAAAGTCACATATTTGGAATCAGCGTCGAATTCTGAACAAAATGGCCGATTCAGATTTTTTTTGATAAAATTTTATTTTTCGCCTGCCAAATCTGTCCCTGTTCCTCCTTTGGAACATTGAAAATTTTTTGTGCAAATTCTTTAAAAAGTACATCACTAGACGTAGAATTTAACGCTGATTCTGAATATTTAGTCGATTCCACTCCGATGCCTTGTAGAAAATTTGTAAATTACTTTTTTCAGCTGGTGGTGGTTTCGACCTTCCTTCGGTTTCGCCCGTCAGCCGACTTACCAACGTTTGTCAAAAATTTGAAACACACACTGTCGTGTTCAGAATTGATTTGTCTATCTAAAAGATGTCAAAATAATATCATATAACCATGTTTTGTGTTTTTTTAGATCAAAAACAGAAAAAACGACGAAAAAGAGCGTTTTTTTCAACACTTCGACCTAATACTGTAAACTAAGAAAGGCTTGATCCCATGAGTGAGGTACATGAGTAGACTCAATTTTTCACGCTGATTCCGAATATGACCTCAAAATCAAAAACAAAGTTAGGAAACATGACCAGAAATTAAAAATACAGGGATATTCCACTGTATTTGACCTTTAGCAGCTGAATATGTGTATTTAACCTTACTAAAAATTTAAAAAAGATTTCTTGCATGCGCTGTAGATCTCTTCCATCATGTTCGGGTTATAACTGAGGCATTCTGTTTCCAAATCCATCTGATGAGGCCTTTAGGACAGAGACCGAAACTGGTTGCATCAGAGTTTTTTAGCCCTTTTTGTGCAGTGAGTCGAGGAGAGCCCGGAAGAGACACAATTTCACAGCAATTTTCAGAGTATCAATCCATACAACAGTGACCAACGGTTCTGCACAGCTCAAAAGCGTCTACAGTGACGTAAATACTCGCACTTGTATTAAGAAACGCCTAAAATACTGATAAGGTGCTCCAAAGTCGAAGTTTCCACACCATTTTATTTCTGACTCATATATATACCATTCGATAGAGCTTTTGAAGCTGACCGCGAGTATCTATGTTTTAACCTTTCTAGGCCAAGTTTTCACCTAAAAAAATTTGAAAAAACAAGGGCCTCTTTTTTTGTCAAAAATGGTCAGTTTTTTTAAAAACCTCAATAACTCACCTCTAATCCATTTTCAAAGCTTGAGACTATTATTTTCTTACTCAGCATTGAAAACTGTATATGACAACCTATATTTGAAGATTCTAATTCAAAACAATAAATTTTTAGCATCACGGTTGGTCGAGGTGTCTCCATCATCTACTAGCTCATTTTGTAAACCCATCTAGGTTTTTTGTTCAAGAGATATAATCATATGTTATACATCATTAGAATCGCCATTCAACAAGGAAAAAAGTACGTTCTTCTTTTTTCAAAATACTTTTCCCTTCTTAAGATATGTGCTTTTTATTGGAATTTTGGCACGTTCGTCTAAAAATCGCAAAAATCATTTTTCAATAACTTTTCTAGTTTTCATTCAAAGTCAATGATATTAATACACAATATGTAACAAACGATGTTGAATCTAATGAGTATATTCTCAAGATCTCCAAAGATTTCTAGCGGACATTTTACTTTACAAAAATATCGCCCGAAAAATTGATCATACAGATGTAATTTCGATTTATTTCCGTAATGGTAACCAGTATAAAGAATTCAAATAGCGATTTAGATAGAGAAAATTGTTTTCAACAAATATTTGAGAAAAAAAAATTCTCATTATATTTTCAAATCCAGGGTCTCCAGAAAACCAAAAGCTAGGTTTTCAGCATCCAGAACACGGTGATAAAAGTTTGTTTTAGTCGGATAGCGTGATAGAGCAGCTAATTATCTACAAAATAAAACGCCTCCGAGCTCTCTACGACGCTTTTTGACTGAGCTACATCAATTTTACGAGAGGCCCTAAAATGTTTTTTTTACAGGAATTGCGAAAAAACATTTTAGGGCCTCTAGTAAAATTGATGTAGCTCAGTCAAAAAGCGTCGTAGAGAGCTCGGAGGCGTCTTATTTTGTAGAGAATTAGCTGCTCTATCACGCTATCNGACCCTGGATTTGAAAATATAACGAGAATTTTTTTTTTTCTCAAATATTTGTTGGAAACAATTTTCTCTATCTAAATCACTATTTGAATTCTTTATACTGGTTACCATTACGGAAATAAATCGAAATTACATCTGTATGATCAATTTTTCGGGCCACTGTATATGTATACCAAACATATATGTATAAGATGGAAGGGGGGGACGAGGGTGCTCCTAGATACTTAAGATACAAAAAAATGACAGAAAAATGAGTTCGCAGCGAACTCAAATTGTGCACGGCCTCAAAAGGAGGGAGGGGTACCCTTAATATTAATTAAACTTACGAGGGAAGGCCACCAAGTGTTCCCTCGCTCTGAGACTCAGTTGACCGGGGCTAATCGAGCATGCTGATTCCGAATATCAACATGAGACGGCCTAATAAGCCTTCAGAGACAGGTTTTCTAGAAAACCAGTTAAATCTCCGAAACTTTTCTTAATAAGCCATATTTGTAGCGCGCGAAATTCTGATCAAAATGAGGCATTTCCCAGCTCTACACGACCTTTCTTTGCAAAGATATAGAATTTACAAGAAAAACCCTAAATGCTCATTGTCAACTCAAAGCTACAGAAATAAGAAATGAATTTAGGGCTTTTCTTGTAAATTCTATAACATTTGCAAAGAAAGGTCGTGTAGAGCTGGGGAATGTCTCATTTTGATCAGAATTTCGCGCGCTACAAACATGACTTATTAAGAAAAGTTTCGGAGATTTTTTGGAGTTTCTGGAAAACTGGTTTTTTAGAAAACCTGTCTCTAAAGGCTTATTCGGCCATCTCATGTTGATATTCGGAATCAGCATGCTCGATTACCCCTGGTCAACTGAGTCTCAGCTCAAAAACGAGGGAACACTTGGTGGTCTTCCCTCGTTAGAATAGAGGACAGTTCCAAATTGATCTAGGCCTAAATTCTGCCATAGTCTCTTTCGGCCTTTCTTAGGTAATGCCTTTTTTTGATAGTTGAATACTCACTCCTTCAAAGGTTAATGTGACCACATTATCAAAATCAATAGAATGGGAGTTCTGAATAACATGTTGTGCGATGTTTGATCAGATTTCTTTACTAGTTGTTAGAGAACTTCAATTTGAATTTTTTATCTTTCTTGAGAAGAAACTTCAGGTCTCTACTTCGTATACTTTTCTGTATTTCCTAATGGTATTTGTACTAAATTTCATTTTTTTTATTCATATTAATCAGATAGAGTGAAGAATTTTTTTTATTAACAACAGCACGAAAAAAAATAATAAAATGTTAAAAGTTAACAAGACACACGCTCACATGAAGAGAAGAACAATGTTTACAAAGCACGGCAATGTTGTGCATATAATGCCTTCTTAACCTAATATATATAGACATATATATCCAGTTGAAAGCAATACATTCATTCGCTATCAGATCCATAACTATACTTGAAAAAATAATAACATAACATAACATAACATAACATAACAAAGTTGAACGAAAATAAAAAATGGCAGTAATATGAAAAGCATAAATAGAATTCGACAGAAAGAACAAAATTACATACTCAATCATATGCTATTCTCAAAATAAAAAATCTTTTCAAATTTAATCTTGTCTTCAAAGTATTTATGTCGTAGTTGTGTGTGGAAATCAAATAATAACTAGACAATTCTAGTAACCAATCAGAATGGTCGAGTTGAGAGATCTTCTCTAAGATAAGATAAGACAAACAAGTAGGAAAAAAGTTTATATAAAATAATTTTGGTAATACTAATGGGGAAAGTTTAAAAATTGTTTTCACAAATCATCAGAGTAAAAAAAGAGAATAAGAAACCGGCATGTTACGAAATATTGTTTATGAAATGAATGGTATGTTGGTGTGAACTTATAACTATCGCTTACCACTAATTACAAAAAAAAAATTGTTTGATATTAAAAAATACACATGTTAAGCAACTACTAAATTCACTACTACTGGTAGATAAGATCTTTGGTAATACACTCACTACTCATTAGTTGTTGATAATCGAATAAATTTTCGTGCTGAAGGCATTGTAGTTGTAGACTCTGTTGTAGATATTTTTCGTTTTCTATCATTTGATGTTTCATTCAATAAAGTATATATTTCTGCTCCATTTGTTTCATGTGCTAAATCAACTTCTGGTGGTGTCTCAAGGAACGGTTCAATATTAATTGTACAATATTGTGCTCGTAATTTTGGATATTCATTTTGAAAAAATTTTAATAAATGATAATGATCACGTTTTAACACTGAGGCACGCGAACGAGCTGTATGAGCTATAATGGAGGCCACTTCTTTCAATTTTGGTGGCACCATTAGTTGTGGAGGTGTCGTTGTTGTATAACTAGTAAGATCATCAGGATAATCGGATAAATCGGTGGTAGTTGATGATGGCGATAATGTTAACATGTTAATATTACGATTATGATTGTTCGTGGTGGTGGTAGTGGTAGTGGCGATAGTAGAAATATTATATTTTTCATGAAATTGTTCGTATTGTTGAAAAAAATCTTCAATACGATTTGCTTCACTCGTTGTTGAAAAATATCCAAATGTTTCACGTATTATTGCTTCTAAATATTCATCATTGTAATTCGATCGAAATGATTGCCAATTTTCTTCGATATAACGACAATAATAATCACGACCTACTTTACTCAAACAAAAACCTTTATATGCTTCAATACGTTCGTGAAGACGAATTTGTGCAAATGATATTAAATCTAATGTACGTTGTATAAAATGTGGATTTTGTACATAGCTTAAACCGAACAGACAACGTAAACGATCATCTTGTTTATCACGCTGAATATACATTTTAATTAAACTAATAAAGTCACTTTGAGATGCATGATGAGCAATTATAGCACAAATTGGCCACCAAATAGGTTCATTTGAATCATTTACATATGATTGAAAACGTCGGCGTGCTTCACTAATAACCTCTTCATCATAACCAATGTTACCTAACAATAGAAGAAAAACACGTTTAACCCTTCGAGTTCTAAATTTTTCTGATGAATCAAATTTTGTAAAACATGGTATAAACTATATAAGAAGACATTTATAGAAACTCTATTTTGTTACATATTCATATGCGTTTGCTGATAAAACAAAGCAATTTTTTATACAAAAGTCGTGAATAAAATATAGTTATACACACTTCTTACGAATTTGTTAGACTCACATCAGGCATGGAAGACGCAACAATAAATTACTAAGATTATGTAAGACAAAAAGTACTTGACGATTGTCCAAAACTGCCGAAATTTAGTAGTGGTAAATGTATTTAACACTGGGATTTAAAGGATTTAAAGACAGTTTAACTGAAGAATGGTTTCTTTTTATGGTTCGAGGATCGAAAATGTTGTTTTCAATCTCTCTTTTAACGTGTACTTACCTAATATGATTAATACAAATGATCGAAGACGTGCACGCGATGTTGATTCACCACTAACAGCTGTCCAACCCAATTTATAATATAATGTTTTATGTACATCAACAATATATTTTCTATAATATTCAATTAATGATTGATCGTATTCTAACATCGTTGCTATTCGAATTATATTCGATTCAATATCTTTCCAAACTGTTTCTTCATCATTTTCATGAATATAACAAAATAATAAACGTAAATAATCAACTAATGATGAAAAACCACCCATAACTAATGAATGTAAATCATTTTCAACATTAAACCGATCATATTCGTTTATTTTATTTGTTTTGATTGCTTCTCGTAAATTATTATTCAATACATTGTCCTGGTATAATACACGATAGGTACCACTACAAGTTGCATTTACTTTGAAATGTGCGGTTTTCAAATGAATGACAAGTCGTTGTTTATCCATAAGAAATTTTTCAACTGTCGATGGATTTGAATTTTCATCATAACAGAGAATTGTGATGGGTATTACCCAACAATTACTATTATTGTGTGAAAGATCTCCATCGAGATTATGTTCAAAATTGAGAAAATGTTGATCATTTGATACTGTTTTACGTCTTGGTAAACCATTTGAAATAGAAGCACACTTCATAGCAGTAGAATTGGGATGAATATTTGATGATGATGACGATGATGACGACGATACGTTTGTACCATCTGATACAATTAATTGATCAGAAAGAACAGAAATAGATGAGTCACTTTTTGATCGATTAAGTCGACGACAAGAATAATTTACATTTTTTCTTATGTGACAAGAACAAATAGTGTCTTTCAGTATATCTGTTGATGTTGTCTGTTCACAAACACAAGTAATTTGTTTTTGGTGGTGACCTTGACAATAACTGACTTGTTTTAATTCAATATCACATGAGCCTAAAATAAACAAGTAACATAATAATAATGATGAACACATAATCGTAACACATTCATACCTGTACTCTCATCGTACGAAATCATGTTGACCGAAACTACTGGATAACTCTGTTTTGTGCACCAGGTTTGGATTATTTTTCCTAAATGAATACAAATGATTGTTTTTTAGTTTATTCGAATATTTTTTTTTTATTTACGTATTGGTAAATGTGTTATTTCTTCAATACACAGCCAAAAATCATTGGCGGTTGCCGTTGAATATTGAAACTTTTTTAAATAATATCTTGTTGCTGTTAAAAATGCTTTGTCACCAATAAATAAATGTATCATACGCATAAGACATGAACCTTTTGAATAGATAAAACCTTCAAATGAAAATGTTTTTTCATCAATATCTTCTGGTTCAATATGTAGCGTATTTAAACGATATTCAAAATAACGTATGTATTGAGTATAAAAAAATTCTGAAAAAACGTTCACTTCTGGTAAACAATGATCTGTAGCCAAATATTCAAACCATTTTGCAAAACCTTCGATAACATAAACATCATTCCACCAACTAAAACATACATAAATAACATACTTTTAATTAGGAACGTATTTTAAACGAATTGTATAGTTGAATGGAAAACGCTAATAATAGAGATATATCAAGTGAAGCAGTTTGACGTTATAAAAAACTCACCTAATCTTCATTCTTTACATGAAACTTTTGCCGGAAATGTTGTACAAAAGTTCATGGACTATCGATTACAAAAAAGAATTTTGGTATAGCTCCGAAATTAACGCATGAATAGGTAAAATATCATCGTTACGGGATTACGCATTTTACAAATAACTATGTTTTCGTAGTTCGATTTTTCCCCTCAATCATGAGCGAGAAGTAAATTAAAATGACATTATTACCATCTCAAAACATTTCTCTATTTAATGATGTGCTCAAAACCTAAAAGTATTGCTGACAAGGGTCATCCCACGTAACGGTCGCTTTTTGCACAAAAATGTAGAAACTTTTACCTGTATTTATTCTGTAAGAAATATTGTTAGAAAATAATAAACAATTATGCAATGGCAAAAAATCAGTTCCAAAGCGACGACAATAGATAGATTGAATCATGTTTCAATAGCATTTTGTCGCTGGCTCTCTTCATATCTTTTTATCGGCACTAGTTCATCTGATCCCAAACGTCAGCTCTCGACGAATACGTTAGTATCAAGGCTGAGGACGTCTTTATTCAATAGTGTGGTTCCATTAATAAGCCGTATATCTCACGAAAGTCACATTTATAATCCAAAATTAGCAATATATCTACTAATCCCCGTCTATACAGAGAGATGTCCGTCCACTGGGGCTGAGGATATAACAGAAAGTACACAAATAGTAGTCACTCAATAAAAAAAACTTTTAAACTTCAAATTTCATTTTTCTGTTTTACGATACAAAAGCCTGAAATTTTTTATAAGATTCAATTTAGTGCGTATATGAACAAAATACTGTTGTCGATCTGTCTGTCAAACGCTAGAATCTGCATCGTCTAATGACTCTTTGAATTTTTATTAGCTATAATACATTACATACTTGATACTGACAAGATTCCCAAACCATTGATGAGCTATTTCATGTGTAACAGATTGACAAACATTACGATATTGAATATCATTTGAACGTTTTTCACATAGTAATAATTCTTCTTCTTTAAATGTAACCAAACCCCAATTTTCCATAGCCGGATAATATAAACCTGGCACAGTTATTAAATCTAATTTTGGTAACGGATAATTCAATTCAAATAAATTAGAAAAATAATATAATGCACGTCGAGCACATTTTAATGCAAATAAAGCATCATCCGCTTTACCGGGTAATGTATAAGCACACAAATCAATTTTTCTTGTCTCTTTTACATCTTGAGTAGCACTAAAAAACACACACAATATTCATTAGAAGTTAAATCAACACTTTATAAATTCTACTCATTATCGATTGTTAAGCGTATTTTTGATTAAGAGGAGCGAAGGGAACGGAAAACCATCCTCTCGCTTGGATAAAGTGATTCAAAACTCTTCTAAGAAATTTAAACTAAGAAACTAACTTTTATGTAGTCAAATAAGTAATTTTTTTAGCTTCTCAAGTAACATGTTTTTTTGTTGTTTTTTTCTATCATTTCTTCATATTGTTGATAAATCTTAAAAATGGCGATAGTGACAAGCTCATTTTCAATTTTCAATTAGCTTAAAACATGCAGTTACTTGGAAAAAAATTTTATTTACTCAATAGACATTCTATCCTCTTCCAAAACTTGTATCAAAAACGCTGAAGAGACTACATACTTGGACGACGTTGTTGTTATAAATTCTGTTAATTCAATTGGATCTGCTTTTAATACATCGAATTGTCCAACAATAAAACATAATAAAAATGTTGGCATAACTGGTGTACGTTGAAATTGAACACGTTTTATATTATTTTCAACTAATTTTTCAGATAAAATAGGCATATTTGATAACGCTAATAGATGTTGTGGTACATGGAGAATAATGTCGAACGTTGTGCGAAATGATGGTTCATCAAGACATGGAAATACTCGTCGACAATGTGTAGGTGACATTTGTGTTATGGCATAATAGTTTCTCTTCATTCTCACATTTCCATTATTATCCTCCATTTTTGGATGTTCAGTACGATAAAATCCTTGTAATTGTGACGTTTGTAATTGTCCATTAAATTTAATTTCAATTCGATATGTTTCATTTAATAAAAATGTTTGATGATGATCTAAACTAAATTCTACAGTTTCATGTTTTTCATTTAGTGTAACTGTGGGTTTCCATTGAATTGTGGAGGGAGATGATAATGAATAAATATGAACAGAATTTGTTTCAATAACAAGATTGGATGAATATAATACTAATTGTGTTACATTTTCTTTATTTAAAACAAAATCTATTTTAACAATGCCTTCAAAATGTGCATGTTCTAAATTGGGTGTTAGTTCAACTTCGTAGTGTAATGGTGATACATATTTTAAACGACGAAACGACATAATTTATGATGATTATGTAATGGAATAAAAGTAAAATAGTTCTTGAAATAAAACAAAAAAAAAATAGATATTGAAATTATTGCAAGTAACAAAGAAACATACATACCTTTGCATAAACACATTATAAATTAAATATGTGTTAGATAAGAAACAAAATCAGTTTTAGAATAAACTGGAAAATATATCAAAATCTATAAGAAAAACATGGAGAGTAATAATTAGTCTAGAATTTCCTAAGTTGTCTGCACGTTTATTTTCTCTTCTCAATGTCTTCTCATCATACAACATTTGATATCAATAGATAACACAAAAAGTTGTTGTTTTTTATATATCTGTTTTGTTATATAATGAATAGGATCAACAAAAGAGTGCAAATAATATCTTATTCAGATATCTTCTATCATAACAAAGGAAAAAAACTACTTTTTGATTAAAAGTACAAAACTAACACATGTTAGTTTCGAAAAAAGGAACGGCAAACTAAACTTAAATTTCTATATAAAGAAATTAATAGAATCAATGGAAAATTGAAAAATAAGCGTGTAATGCGTTCGTTGTTCAAGAAGAAGAAGATAAACCGAATAATAATGTACAAACATATCGTTAGAAAAAAATATCTTCATTCATCAAAATTACAAAACCCGATCAAGTAGAAGAATTATTTGAGTAGTCTATCGACAGATTTGATCCGTAAAAAAAAATACATTTAAATGATAACAGAAGATTAACAGGTCCTATCATACAATAAAATAAAATTAAAAAATGTTCTTTAATCTAATTTAAATATAAAGCTGAAGTGTTGCTAAGAGTAGCTTTTTTTCAGTAGCACAAATAACAGGAAAAAAATTTTAAATCACATTTAAAGGTTAATGTAAATGCAGTATACTCCTTTTTTTGCTCATTTCTTATCCTTGAAAACCTTTGGTTTATTACTATTAAAAACGACCTTTTTAATTTTTTGTGGACTTTTGAATTGTTGGTAAATCGACTTTTAAAACGGATGCAAGTTCATGTACATAGTCGATTTGACTTTGATGATAAGGTATACCACCTAATCTATTACACAATTGAATATGTGCTCGTTCAGGATCACCTGCTATTAAAACTGGTTTCTGTTTTTCTAAAAAAATATAAAAATTATAACTAAAAAAACATACAAATTCAATTTGTCTCTTTCTTTTACCTGTTGGATCCAATCGTCGACAGTAATCAATGAGTTTCTGTAATCTATTTTCAAATTCATCTTCAAATTCCATTGGATTTATTGCAATAAAACAATGGCCAAGATTTGCTTCCGTATTCGACGATCCTTTCCAAGATCGAATCCATGGACCGAAGTGAGAGCCACTCAATATTCCACATAAAATTTCAACCATCATAGCTAAGCCTGTAATGAAAAAAAAACCAACGTTGTTCCATCTGAAAAAAACACGGTGTCTTCAACAGATGTATAAATGGTATACAGACCGTAACCCTTGTAGCCGCCTGATTCTTCCGGACCGCCTAATGACAATAAGCCTCGCACATCTTCTGGTCTCGTAACTGGATGACCTATTAATATGTAAATTAAAATTTTTTATTTAATAATTGTAATAGCATCTTTTCAAACCTTCTTCATTACAACCCCATGTGTTCGGAATTTTATCGCCTTTTCTTTGGCTTAGTTCAATTTTTCCAAAAGCAACAGTAGATGTAGCCATATCCAATACGAAACTATCGCCATTTTTACCAGGAGCAGCAAACGATATCTGAAGGTAGACCAGTTGATTTATGTTGAATACAATTCTCCAGATCTTGTTATCTTACCGGATTTGTTCCTAAGAATAAAAAATCTACAGTGTATGTACAGTAGCATACATCCACTGCTTAACAAATATACCTAATGATTGTTGTTTCGATCTTGTTGGTACTAAAAGCGGAGATGTGTTTGTAAATGACCAACCAATTAAATCTTTTTCAACAGCACGCTAATAAAAGAGAATGTTAATTTAAAAAGAAATATGTCTATCATCGAACATACAAGAAATTAGATACTGTGAACTTACTAACGAATAATATCCAGCTATACCTAAACAACAAAGAGAAGAAAAACAACTTTCTTTTTATGGAATGTGATGATTATCAAATTCGTACCAAAGTGGTTTGAATGTCTACAAGAAACCACTCCGACCCCGAATTTCTTTGCTTTTTCAATTGCTAAATCCATACAATAGCTTAAATATTGAAAAGAAAAGAATAAATAAATTGCACTCGTTGGTAGATCGAACTTACCTTCCCACAACTGGTCCAAGAAGATTTTTTCCATCGACCAAAGCAGTTGCTCCATTATTCTTCATAATTTGTGGCTCACCCTTGCGCTCAGTTGTTCCAGATTTGACATCTTCTACGTACATGTCCAAACGATTTAAACCATGAGAATAATGTCTAGAATAATGAATCAAAATGTGAAGTAAATGAGAAAGTGTTTGATCTGTTCAAGTAGCATACCCTCTGTAATCAGCACAAGCAAGATTATTGGCAAGTTCTGCAGCATGAGATGGTTTTGTTCCAACACGTAGCATACATTTGACAATAAATGAATGTATTTCATCTTTTGAAATAATACATTCACCGTGTTTATCAGCATCTTCACGCACATTCGAACTTATTTCAGGGCTTTGTTGAGTCTACAAATAACGAAACACGAATAATAAAAAATGCACTTTAAACTGATAATTTGCCTTGTATTGAAATCATAGTCAAAGGCAGAACTTCCAGTGATTTAGACAAAAAGCTTATTCCTTCTTCTACTGTGCAGTTATATGAAACGGGATATTAACTGGTGTAGTTTCCTGTCTTACAAACTTCTCACATTTGTTACATACCGAACTTCCTGCCTGACATATTTGTTTTTGACATAATAAACCGTGTGATGGACGAAGAATACTAGAAAAAATGAGTATAATATTATTTTAAAGCGAACACTTTTCATCAGTGTTGGAATTACTCTTTATGCCTACAAAATTCTAAATTTGCTTTTCAAACCTTTAGTCAACTGTTCGACCTTCTTCAACTTAAAATATTTGTCTAAGCGTGCATGAAGCAGTTTTATTTGACATTCATATAGGTGATTAAATAAACAATAGCCACTTACCGAGAAATAGTTTTTGTTAACATGAATCATATAAAAGAAAATTTGTTTATATCTACAAAAAGCAACAAGTGAATGAAAAGGATTTTTTTCAACTATTCAAAGATTTTAAATAAATTCCACACTAAAAAATCATCTTCCTGCTTTCCCTCTTTTTCTCTATTTAACTCATCCACAAACCTTCGTGTTGTACGAGTATCTAGGATACTAATACCAACTGCAAGCATTTGTTAACGTTTCACTCATTACTAAAGTGATAGAACAATAAAACTAAGAACCAAAACTAATAGGATATCTTCGAAGATAAAGCTTGATCTTCAGACAGGATTTAAAATACCATTAGATTAGTAACCACACGTTAGTTAGCGTAATAGAATAATATTTTATTGAATATCTTTTAATCTTCAAAGCTTCCAGAATGTAGTATGACTAGCGATAATAGAAATCCAGTGTATTTTACATCAAAACAAAAATAATTTAAAAAATACAAATCTTACTTTTCTACTTCGACAGCTAAACAATATATACAAAATGATCTAATATAAATCGAATAAACAACGTAAAAAGAACGAGAAATGCATTTTTATAACAGTTTTTTGTGAAAACTTCCTAGGACTTGCCCGCTTTCAGAAGGAAAACGAAGTTCCAAGTATAAAGTTTATATACGAGGATTTTTGTGGTTTCTAGGTTTTTTTTTTTGTCAGTAGCTGTAAACTTTCGGGGTGAAATTGTGATTGATCAAATTTCAAGATAAATTTAGTATTTACAGCCACTGAATGGACTAGTAACGGACAGTGCATTATTGATTTGATGTTGTTAGACACAAGTTTTAAAAAGTATTAACATATCTCTCCATATGATCAGAAAAAAAAGCTATTAAATAGAAATTTCCCTGCTACTATTCTTATTTAACTTCCTTCTATTTATACATCTTCTATGTTATAGTCCAACAGTTCAACAGGGAGTTTTCACATTTTTGCTTTGTAGAAGCAACGCTAACAAGCTTTTTTCACCTTTTCAAAGATCGATGTGTAGTCTGTAGTTTTTGGCTTTTTGGTTTGCTTTCATTAATTAAGTTTAACAGAGCGATACCATCGGTATCATCCGTATGCTGTTCGACTGTATTATTAGTATCCATTATAGTGGAATCATTCCTCATTGACATAGTTGTATGCTGGTGTTCATTTTTCATTTCATTGTCGATTGCAGAATTCAATAGTGGCCATAAAAGATGATTAGCTAAATCGTTCACGTTCAAGCTAGGTTTACGAAATAAATTCTGCACAATTTTGGTTGATGAATGTACGTCATTTGATTGAGCTTGAGGGATAATTGTGATACTTGACTTTGATGGTACAACATGCTGGTTTGGTCGCTCAGTTAATAAAGGTTGCTTCACAGAATACGACGGAATGTGATTCTTCACAGACTCCGATTTTTGAGCTGTCAAAAGTGTTGAAAATGAAGGAAGAACAGCTGACGATGATGGTGGTACTTGAAGAATATTCGTTACTCGTATATCATTGTTCTGCAAAGTGACTAGTCGTTCTAGATTACTATTCCGTAGTAGTGGCTGTTTTAACTGTAAATGCTTTACAGTAGATAACACTTTAACAAGTTCATCAAGTGATGAAACATTGAAATGAAATTCATTATTGTTGTTTATGGTCCTCGATTTATTGCTATTAGTGTTATCAATCACAAGTTGTACAGAAGCTGCGGACACAGAAGACTGTGGTAATTGTTCTTTTTGTTCAATCAAATCTTGATTCAACGATGACATATTACTGTGATCAAATGATGGAGCAAATTGAGCATTTGATGATGATGATAATGAATGGGGTGGTATAAATTCAGTATTTGTTGTTAAATCGTTTTTCTCAATCGCCAATGGCTAAATAAAAATACGAGTATAGAAGAAAAAAGGCAAAAATCGGAAAAATGTACTTACAGAAATAAGTGTGTCATCCATATTCGGCATCTGTGAATCAATAAAGCAATCATTACTATGTGAGTCTGCAATGGGAAGTGATGATAGTTCTCGTTGATCTTTCACTAGTATCGATGCTATTTCAGATGACGATTTATCAGTAGCAAATGATGATGGTGCTTGAGATTCGCTCGTTTTATTACCATTTATCAATGTTGTTAGTAAATCTGGTGTGATTCTTGTTACATTTGTCATATCCACATGCGTTTCTGCACAACATTTCCACAATGACAAAATATTTCTATCTGACTGTTGCGTACTGCACTTGAACGATGGAATTTCTTCGCCATGTTCGGTGAACGTTTGCCAACCTGATTCTTTAAAAAATAGAAAAGAAAGAAGCAAAATAATTTAATAAGAGAACCAGTACACTACTATACCTGTACAACGAATTAAACAGTCGATGTAAGATGATGATATTGATTTTTGGTTATCTGTCTTAAGTACAATCATGCTGTGCAATTGAAAATGCCGTCCAGAAAAACTGAGGCGCGGTAGCGCTTGTTTTAACGGCAAATCGTTTAACATAATTGCAACGATATCGGAAGCGCTGAAACAAAACAAAAAACATATAAAGCAATGATTACACTCTGTCATGCCTTACCTTCGAAATTCAACCGACTTTGTCTGTCCAGATGTACCACATCGAAAACAAATACAGTCGGCTTGAAAACCCGATATATTAACTAGTTCTGATGCTGTTATATACATATCCTTTGATGAATAGACTTGAATAACATCTTCAACACTAAAATAGACAACATACACATGTTACATTTGTTTCATAAATTGCATCCTATTCCTAGTCAATAGCTACCTGTGCTGTAACGAGTAACCGCATTCGGTACATAAAAATTGCTCATCAACAACAGATAAAAAGACGTTAGACAAATATGAATCATTTCGAATAAATTTCCGTAAGGTTGAAGATATTTGTCGTGTATGAATATTTTCTCTAAAAGAAAGCGTAAAAAAGATATTTTTGTAAATTTCTAATGTTTATCTTCTAGATTTAAAAAAACTACTGCTAAAACAACACTCACTGAAAAATATCTAGAAAAACTTGTAAATAAAACTTAATCAACTGATTTGATGGTGTTTGTTTTGTTCGAATTTCATCGGCCAAACGACGATAAGATGAGGAAAGATCTGTTCTTGAAGAGTTGCTCTCAGCTAATTCAAGAAAAAAAGTGATTAACGTACCAAATGTCTTCAATGTAGCAGAAATATGATGCCAACATGACCATATGTGGTCGATTGAACATGTTGCTGACATGTTATGCAAAGAGAATGAGATCCTTTTGAAAAAATATTCAAGAAAAAAATCTGCAAAACGGTATCCACATTATTATGATTTTCTGCTGATGAACTTTTCAAAATACAAGTCTTGTATATTGTTTAAATTTTTATCAAAGATTGTGCACGGAATTTTCCTGCTGTATCGAAGATTCCTCTTTGAGTTAGATTTCATTCGTTCAATTACCACAAAATATTTAACCAACCGTCGCTTTGATTTTATCCATCACTGGGATGATACTCTTGGCGCCACTTTCGCTAACTTAGCTCGCTCCGAGAAAACACAAAACAAACCGTGATCTAAACCTGAAACTGCGTTCAATGATACACTTTGTCTTTTTGAAACTTGCTGAATAAAGTTTGTGAATTATAGCAGCCGAATATTCATGATATTTCGACCGTAACCGGTCATATGACCAGTTAAGGCCGAAGTATCTTGAATAAAATAAGAAATGATCTCATTTTACTTGAATGCTATAATTCTCAAAGTTTCTTTGAAAAGTTTACCCATTACTTTGTTTAATATTAATTTGCTGAATAAACGTTTGAAACTGGAAAATCGCAACTTCTTTACTGCACAATCTTTCTAAATACTAGATTGAATCAGACATACTAATTTCATTTTCTACAGGTACGACATTTTCTGAAAGTCTAGTTCAAGGACCAAATATAAGAAGTAATTCTACTTCTCGGTACACAAAGAGTGAACAGAGTGTCCCACTTCAATACTCGTTAATCATATTTATAAGTTGTTCATGAGGATAAGTAATGTTGCATTATAAAATAATTTCTGCTGATAGCTTCAAACATTCGCGAATGAGAAAAATGTCTAGCAGTTAACAAGTATTCCACTCTTTTCTTTTCAATGATTATATTTTAACTTTTAACGAGTAACACAACATAGACATATTATTTCAAAGAAACTATTTTTTTCTCAGATAAAAATTAACAAAACAAGTTCACTAAAGCACGACGTCACAATATATTACTTTTTTCGAATCAACGTTCTCCATATTTCATGATTAGCAAAAAGGGAGTCATCGTAGATTCAAGCAGATTAATAACGAAAAGAAAAATTCTTTCAATTAAAACTTACAACAAAAAACCTAACAAATTTTCGGATAAGTAAAAGAATATAAAAGCGTTGTGCAAAAGCAAAAGAGAATGGTGTCGAGAATATCAATTAGAGGAATAAAACACATAGACAAAAAAGAAAAAAAAAATGTCATTATGGAATGTATTCGTGCATTCTTTACAAATTATTTTTTAACGTTTATTTGATAAAATTCTCACAAGATCATCACAATTGCATCTTCCTAAAAGTAAACAAAAATACTATTGTTCTAAGTTTAATCAAAGTAACAAACTCACCATCAGCATCAATATCTGCTTCTCTTGTTAATTCGTCTACTTCTTCTTCAGTTAAACGTTCACCTAATGATATCATAGCTAAATCAAAAAAACACACATTAGTAAATTATTTTAAATAGTTTTAAATTGTGATAACGTACCATGCTTTAATTCGGACACGGATACATAACCTGTTCCATCTTTATCAAATACTCGAAATGCCTCGCGTATATCTTCTTCTGTTTCCTTATTATTTGCTTTGAAATCTTTCGCTATTTTAACAAATGTATCAAAATCAATTTTTCTACCAACTTGTTGTTGTATTTTTTGAAGATCAGCTTCAGATGGACTTAAACCACATGAACGGAGAACAATACCTAGAGAAAAAACTCAAAATAACAAGACGTAATTTAATCAAACAAAAAAATTGGCTAAAAACTTTACCAAGTTCTTGTGGCGCTATTATATCATCATGATCTTTGTCGAATAATGAAAAAGCTTCTCGATATTGACGTACTTCATCAGAAACAGCCATTTTCTTTGTTCGAAAGGGTCTATCTACAGTCAAAACGAAATTAAAATAGTTTAAATTTCCTATGATTTTAAACAATATTCATCAGAACAATCAAAGATGACACTTCAACAACGGATAGCGCTTCAGAAGATAACTTTCGTATTTTCTTTCAAATAGATATACTGAATAGTGTAGTTAAGACTAATAAGATCAGAGATTACTGTCATATGAAAGTAGAGAGAATAAAACCAATCACAAAGTAAATAAATGTGACCATATATTTACACAAATGTACAGAACTTTTTTCTTTCTTTTCTTTTCTTTTCGTTCAACTCAATATAGCTCTAACAGCATGAATATACACGATGTACAATTCTAATTCACTTTATACACCTTCTACGTCTTAATGTGTACTATTCATGTTCGTATATTATTAGAAACAGAAACGAAACAAATGTTGATTGTTATTTGATAGGCGAAAGAAATACAAAATAATTCTTCCAAAACAACCAACTGTAATGACGTCTTCAAATCGATCTAAAAAAAATTAGATTGTATTCATTACATATAGACAGAGCACACATTGTCATAATTATAAAAAATTTATGGACTCTGTCGATATCTGCAACTCATCGGAACATTACATATTTCAGTAACTTCATTCTGAAAGAGAAACCCTTATCATTCGAGCATGGAATTGTAGAGATATATTTCTCTAAACGATGACAATATTCTTCTCTGCAAATGAATGACATTTCGGGAGACTGAAGATCAGAGATTTCAAATTATTTTTTTCGAATGTGGGACAGAAAGTTCCGAATGGAGGACAAAATGGGGGACGCTTATTTTAACGAAATAATCTCATCGTAATCTAAAATATCTGATGAGCTCAACTAAAGTCACATACTGCAAATAAATTAAAGTCAATATCACTTTCACAGTCTACATTCTTACGATTAACCCTTTCAATTAGATTTTATCGACAAATTAATATCACACATTTGATAAACCCATAAGAGAAACCCTTATCATTCGAGCATGGAATTGTAGAGATATATTTCTCTAAACGATGACAATATTCTTCTCTGCAAATGAATGACATTTCGGGAGACTGAAGATCAGAGATTTCAAATTATTTTTTTCGAATGTGGGACAGAAAGTTCCGAATGGAGGACAAAATGGGGGACGCTTATTTTAACGAAATAATCTCATCGTAATCTAAAATATCTGATGAGCTCAACTAAAGTCACATACTGCAAATAAATTAAAGTCAATATCACTTTCACAGTCTACATTCTTACGATTAACCCTTTCAATTAGATTTTATCGACAAATTAATATCACACATTTGATAAACCCTGAGACGCACATGATAGAGTGATGTTTTTGTGGATGGCTCAAATCTTAGAATAACTGTTTGCTAAAAACTATCCAGACACCTATGTGATCATGAGCTTTATGACAAGACGTGCTAAAGAGGGCGTAAATCTTACATATTAGATAATAGTCTACCAATCAATACTTTTCCTCTCAAATATGACGCTTTTGAGAACCCTGCCGAAGATAGAAGAAAAATGGATCTATTGTTTCAATTGTCAGTTTTGAGATCATATCATTTCCACTAAAAGATCACGCCCTAACCTCATCAATAAAATATTAATATTTAACAGCATTTATTTAACAACAATAACAAGTAAATTTCCTAAACAAAATTATACACACACACACCAACATATATCGTTCTTTGAAAACTACATATTTGGGTAAAAAAATACAACAACTGTTTTGTTCTTTTTTTTTCTTCGTAACTTTTAACTTTATATTTACATTTTTATAAATGCATCGATACTAAACTGGCTGCATCATCTGGATAACCTAGAAAATTAAAGTATTTTGTTCTTAATTAAGAGAAATCAAAATTAACAACATTTTACCAGTCCTTGCGTGCCATTTTTCTAATTCTTCTATTGATAATTGTAATTCAACCAAATCACTTTTAATACATTTTTCATCATTCAAATAACTGCTATTGCTTTTTAATTTATTTCTAAAACAAAAAAAAACATTCAAGTCACGTATATCATCATTTTCATACCGTCACTTACGTTATAATTTCAATTGATTTTTTCAAACAATCAAAATGTACCATATCTCGATCAAACTTTTCATTAAGTACTGTTAAATTATGATCATTTGACTGTGCTAAATCTTTTGCTTGGTTAACTAAAAAAACAACACTTTTTTCGATAGGTAATTAAATGAGAAAATTAATTTACCTTCGTCTAGCAATGCATTTAAACGAGATTCTGTTTTTGTTTTTATTTCATCCAGATTTGCACTCATCTAGAATAAAATAAAAATTAGTAGAAAAGAAAAGCAAGAAGATAGGGAAGCACAATTACATATGAATAATAATTTGAACGAAAGGCCATTGCTAAATTTGCACACTGTTGAGTTATTTTTGCGCTAAAATTACGTAAAAAGATATAATTATACGGATAAAAAATGTATAAAGACCTAAAGGGAGGCTGAAATTTTGACGCTTTACAGTTAAATTCACCGTTTCTTCAGACTGCTGATGAATGGAATATCGCTCAAACTTTACAAATTGCTATATACTGTGGTGCTGTAACGCTATCAACATTTAACTAAGCTGATTAGCGGCAAATTTGAACTGTTTACTTACATATTTCGATGATAATTGTATTTGGCTACTTCTAATTTCTCGTTCAGATCATTTTTTTCTTTACGTTTTTGTTCAACATGTCCATGCAACCTAGAAAAAGAAAAAACAAACTTTACGTCCGTCGCTTGAGACTGAATAAAATAAGTCGGTTGGGGAAAAGTCGCAGATTACAATACTACTCTTCGCATTCTGATTATAGGTGAGTAATTAGAGAAAATTCTTAGTCAAATTTCGTATTAGTCGAAATAGAAAATGTTCATACGACTTAATAGGAAACACTAACTCATTTTATCTTTGAAAACTGATCGATTCATGGAATAAATACGATAATCTTCTTTAAAAGTGTGCGACTTCTCCTTCAACTGACCATTAATTCCATTTAGATAAATTTACAACAATATGTGAACATTATTTTCCTACTCATGCATTGCATTTTAGAATATCTAATATTTAGAGAAAAATGCAAATCTACCCTACAAAAACAACACAATCTTCTCGGCACTAATCGTGCACACATGCTGAATGATTTTTTTTCTCGGGACCAATGCACACGTGTGCCGGTATAAAGTATACACTTCATGAGCATTTGTCCGGCACCGGTGCCGAAGTCCCGCGGTTTGCCATGTGCACAGAAATTGTTTTGCAAGGAGTTTTCTATACCTAGTAGAAACAATGAAAGAAATCTAATGCATACGTTAGACAAAAATTTGATCGCTCATTTAAATTATGATCTAAGATATTACGTTTAACTGGAATATAAATAAAACAAAAATAAAACACTGAATGTGAAATGAGAATTTAAAATGCTATTCAACTATAAACGGTGAGATGATAGCTCGATGCTTCGTGGAAAAACTCAAAGTTCAAAAAACAATCATACTTACCCATATTTGTATCGATTTCTGCACGTAAGTTGATTACATTATCATTAACTGGAAAGACAAACAGAATAACAGCGATTGTCTTACAAACACAACGGCTTAATGTGATCATTACATGATAAATACGGTGCTTCAAGTTCTTCATAATATTTACTTTGTTGTTCAATATTTCGATTTAAATTTTCCAGTTCTAAATATACATTCATATGCCTAACATCACTATTTGAAAAACGTAAAACTACTAACTGCAGTATAGATTTCTAGCCCGTTAAGTTTATCACATGTTTTGCAGTCCTGTCACAGTGAAAACCTCAGTTTTACTTTTGGCGTTAAGTCAAAATGTTACCTTTTTGTAATTGTTGTGTACAAACAGTAATTGTCTTAAATACATTTTCCATTCTGAGAAAAAACGCTTTTCGTTATGCCGAATTGATTTAAATTAGATTGATGAGTAACCGAACGTTATGTTGTGTTGTAAGCTGTAGGATATTCTATGGACTTCGAAGAAGCCAATGATTATTTCGAAAGTGGTGGCCTCATCTATCAATAGCTACGCACGTCGTTCCGGAATCACAGAGACATCTTCGGAGGAGACCTCTTTATTTATAAACATGTTTCTAATAGCTATTTGTGTTCTAGATTGAGAAAAGTGGCATCAGTGCGTACTCGTGCCATCATTCTACACTGGTGAGTAACCATGCAAGTGCACTCAGCTTTGTCCGGTCTTCATCATTTATCAACTTATCCATATTAAAACTTTGCATAGCAGCTGTGTCGTAGAATGTCAGAAAAATCATATTCAAAAGAAAGTATGTTCATCCATTTTTAACAGCGGTATCGTGTAGAAAACATTGGATTGAATCTAATGAAAGTGTTATGAAAGCCTAATCGTATTTGAAGGAGTATTTGCGCTCTACAAACCGAAATACGTTTTGTATAGTGGCAAACACAAAAATCCTCCCAAATACTGATTTCTGGTATTTCGAACTACGCTTCAGGGTTTCGTGAGTATCATTCAAGAAAAAGCTTCAACTTTCTTTGCTAAACAGAAATGTTTATCTCAGCTAAGAAGCATTTTTTCTCAGGTAGTGTCTAAGAGATAAAATATAGAGAATGGAAATTCTTAGAAGCCAGTCGATTCATCAACAAGCTCTCTTTAATCATTCTTTTAACTGTATGAGATTCATAAGAATTTCAGGATATCAGTTAGATCGATGTCTATTCTCACGACAATGTACCACTATTCTTGAGAAGCCTTTTCCGCAGAAAGCGTTCTCATGTTCTTTTTTACGTTTATCAACGCCGTTCGCTGTCTGTCCAATGTAACTACTAGTGGATCTACAGCAGTCATACTTGTAAATAACTCTTTTGGCATCGTTCATTTGCCGAAAAGTACGCCCAAACACTGATGAGATAGTCCGTCCAGCTTTAAAAATAATCTAGCAGGAATAACACTGATAAGTTTACTTTTGAAGAAAAACACTAAAACGATTTATCTCGGAACAAAACGTTTTTGGGTAAATCGACTGCGTTCTAGGGGTCTTCAGTTTCATGCAGAATTTTAGTCTCTACATTTTCTCTCATAGGCACCATCTAAGAAAAATGCTTCTCAACTGAGATAAACACGATTTTCTGTTTAGCATAGAAAATACGATTGTTTACGACAGCCGTATACGGCTGAACATAATTTTCTGCCAGTTTTATTTTCACCCTTGTTCATTCCACTTGATTATAGAGGACGTTGACTACGAATTCGTAATTAACGTAATCAGATACTGGATCATTCACTAAAATCATATATGGCGTTAAGTCATCATAAACGAGGAAATATGTACTCTAATCCGTATCAAAAGAAAACAAAAACCGTTTGTGCGTACAATAATTCTAATTTCTCTCAAATCTATTTTTCTCTATGTATTTTAATCAAAGAAATATGAAAATGAAATAGTAAAGTAAAGAAAAGAAATAACAGTAAAGTAAAACCAAAACGTTTGTCAGTCAGATGTCGGTAGATATAATATCTATTGTCAAGCGATTTTACCAAATGAAATTTACGGACGGTAGAAAATATGTGAGTAAAAGAAATAAACTTTGAACAAAAGAACTATAATCAAAGAAATTGAATTTAATCTACAATATCTCTTCATTCATCAATACTATTGTATTGGGTTTCACGCTCCCAAAAACGATCTATGCATATTATAAAAATTCAACTTGATTGACTACAAAACCGATTGCGTTCCTAGGAAAAACGAAATAGGCGATGGTTTAGTAGTAGTGCTGCAAAACAGTTGAGTTTTTAATGATTCATAAAAAAGGTTTTACACTAAATCAGTTTCGGTTCTTCGAGGAACAGATAAACTGAAGAGGGTTTGGCAGCAGACCGAAAAACTATGTTGATATTTCCTACTGATTTAAAAAACTCCAACCGTATTTTATAATACCGAATTATTATTACAAGAAATTAAAAAAATACGATTTTGTACGAAATCAAAGAGTTTTGTAGTAATTACAAAACGCTTTTTAGTTTTTCATGTTTTAAGTACACCCTTTTGAGGTTTGGAAGGAAAACTAAAAGCCCTTTTGATTTTTTTAAAATACGTTTGTTTTTTTAGAGTGTACGCAGATTCGATCCCTGTCACCGATCATGCTACTTTTTGTTTGTAAAAAACGCATGAAACTAGCTCAGTTCAACCATCTGATTCTTTCAGATACTTTCTAGTAGATAAAACAGCCTTTTTTAGAATTCTTATGAATATCTTATAAGATTCTTATAAATTTCTTATCAGAACCAGTGAATTGCTTGTCACTTGCGTGCAACTATATTATATAAGAACTTAGTAAGAAACTTATAAAATTTTTGTAAGACATTTACATAGTTCTTGTCATCTTCTTATAAAAGTCTTATTAGATTCGTATATAAGAAACAATCTCTTGGGCATTAAAATATAATGTTGGATTTATAAGGCTAATTTTGGATTACAAAAAACTTGAAGTTTATATTTTTCAGGGATATAAGAAAACTTGCGTAGTTTTGAAAAAAAGCTTTTGCCATTAATTAGGATAAAAACAATATGCGATTTTTATTTTATGAAATGAAGTTTATTCATATCCACACTTTTAAAGCTGGCGATGCATTACATTTAAAACATGAGAAAAATTAATTTTAAAATGATCCTCCTTTCCCCGTAGAACAGATGCACTCTGGGGAGGAAAATCCCACTATTTCTTCTCGTTTCCAAAACCGTCAGAGAAAGGAATAATAATACAGCTTTCACATTATTGTCGTCGTAGTGCAAGATAAAAACAAAATAAAATAGAAAAATTAAAAGTTTTTTCTTACCTTGTTATCTGCTGTTGGCAGTACAATTGTTGTGATTCAATTACTACAACTTTCTGGCAACGTCTCATCGACGCTTTTATTTTTATACATCAGTGAAATTTAATAAAATCTTCCTGTATCCTTCTTTTACTCAATGAAGCATCATGAAGATTTGTTGTTAATGTTTTCAACTTTTTCCATTGAGTCAGCCATCATGAGCCACATTTAGTTTCGCCGCCTAAAAATCCTAGCCGAAATTCTGCAGGAATTTTATACTACCTTATACTTATAGGAAAACGTAAGAATCCTTGTGTACACTCTAAAGGAACGTAGATTACAAAACGAAAAGGGTTTTTACATTTGCAACTATACCAAATGCATTTCTGTTTTGCGTTTAGAGTGCAAAAACCCCTTCCGTTTTTTAAAACACTGCTTTAAGGCCTGCCCCCCCCCTCCAAAATCGATTTTCAACATGGTGCATGGAATCTTCATGAAACTGTCTACAGATGCTTGACCCATAAAGGTACCAGTGTAAAAAAATTTTCATGGCTCTAGCTCTTTCGGTTCGAGAGATATACAGGTACCAAGGGGCAAAATGGGGGTCCCACGCGTACAAGGATTTTTTCAATATACTTCAAGATGGAGCGCTCGGGCTGGTCTCATTTGAAAGAGAACTCCTTGGTGCTTCAGATGAGGGAGAGGGTTTTTTTAATTTTGATTTTTTTCTTTGGTGGGATCTACAAAACTTTGAAGTTCTGAAAACGATAAACAAGTTTTTTTTGTGAATATTACCTGCAACCAACATAAAAATGCAAGAATTGCATGTCAGTGATAAATACACGTCATAGCGCATTGCACTATGATTGTCACGGCGTATCCCGCGATAGATGGCGTCACCTGTTGCCGCTATTGTATATAATAATTATAATATTATATAAGTACAAATAATAATAATTCTAATTAACTTAGGTTTTTTTACGAAAATTCCATAAAAAACTTAGAGATTCAATAATATCTTTACGGATTTGTAAAGTAGACAACTCAAGCATCATGCCCATGTGTTTATCTCAAAATCCATTTTTTTGACGAAAATCCACTTTTTGGAGGGGGGGTGAGGCCTTAACAGTAAATGCAAAAACGGATAAGGTTTTGTACTTAATTTCAAAAGCCTCCTATAGTATTTCAAAATACGCCTAACCGTATCTGAAGCAATATTTGAAGGAGTTTTTGCGCTCTGCAAAATCGAAATGAGTTTTGTATAGCCACAAGTACAAAAGCCCTCTGAAATATTGATTTTTGGTATTTTGAACTACACTTCAGGGTTTTATGGGAGGGGGAGAGTCAATTCATTCAAGAAAAAGCTTCAGCTTTCTTTGCTAAACTGAAATTCTACACGAAACTGAAAACCTCTAGAACGCTGTCGATTTATCTCGAAAATGAAACGTTTTTGGATAAATCGACTTTCTTTAAGGTCCCCTCCTCCCTCAGAAATGATAATTTTCGGTCAAAAAATCGTTTTTGAGATACGCACATGGAAAGATAGCCTGAAGTGTCTACTTCCAGAATCTGCATTGCTTTTGGTTACAAAACTGTTTTTTCGAGGATTTTGAGCAAGTTTTCTAAGAGCCTCGAAAAAACAGGTCTTCAAATAACGCGCTTTTCCTGGATACTTATGCGCTTAAATTTTTTTTGAAAATACAGCTTTGTAGAGCGAACGTTTCTGATCAAAATAAGACCTCGCACAACTCTGTTTGACCTTGCATCAAACAGTTACAGACATTTTCCTAGAAGTCCTGAAATCGAGTATTTCATACAGCGTTTTCACTATATAAGAGTTACACCTGAAGTGCGCCCCAAGATTTTTAATAGCGGTTTGTCGTAGAG